TTAGGAATGACATTTCTTTATTAGATTTAAACGAGAATTTGGCTTTTAATAGGACACAATGGAGAAAAAGGATTCATGTAGCCGACCCCACGTAGTGGGATAAAGGCTTGATGTTGTTGTTGTTGTTGATTATACAAAATGATTTCGGATTTTCGGGTCAACCGAACCCGACCCGTATAGAAATGGGTTGACCCGAACATAGAATTTTCTAGGTCGGGTCAAATATTGGCACCCCTAAATTTAGACCCAAAGTGATCATTTTGGATCAATTTTGTATAGTCGAGGGACTAAGTATTCTGGGGCTAAAATCTCCAGATATGAATAATTGGGGGACTATTTTGAAATTTCACTGTTAAACATAACATATGAGGATATTTGAGTATAAAAATGCTTTTAATATTATTTTGCACCATTCTTAATACGTGAAATACAACATCGGAAGTAATTTTGGGTCCTTGAAGTTGGGCAATTTTCTAGAAAAGAGACTAATGACTTGCTTTAAGTGGAGGATAAATATGGAGTGATGGTTAAGTTGCCTTTGATATAACATGAGTTCATCAGTTCCAATCACAAGAGACATACCATTTGCCTAGTAAAATTAATGCTGCCATTAATACTTTTTCAAACCTTACATTGATGTGAGCATCACGAGATGGTTTGTCCTTGTGTCTGTCTTCTCAAAACTTTTGTTGATGTGAGCATCATGAATTAGGGTGCATGCGCGCGCATGCTCAATTTTTTTGCATTGTTGTGAGCTTCATGAACAAGTTGCTTGCATGCATGCTAATTTATGTGTGTATGCACACGTGCATTTTATGTTTGGACCTATTATAATATGCAATTGCTCTATAGGGATTCAGAACTAGGTTTGGATTTCCTAAGTGAACCTTTCAATAACGTTAGTTAGATTATAATATATGAGAAAATTTAACTATAATAGTGTAATGGGCAAAAACCAAAAAAGTATGTGCTGTAGGACTAAATGTGTTTGTTGATGTTTTACCTTTGAAATTATACGTTTCTGAAAGGGCAAGAGCAATTAGTCACTTCCAATGATTTAAACGACGAATGAAAACAATAAAACAATGATTTAGTTCAAACAATAGATTACACGATAAAGATTTAGAGCACAAAATAACCAATCAAATCAGATTTTGCTTAATGTGGGGCTTTCGAAAGAAATCCCTTAATTAACATTTAGAATAGTCACTATTTAAGATCTCTCACTCTCACTCTTAATAACTGGTTAAGTAGAGGAAGCTTGTATGCATATTTATGATGCCACAATTGAGAGGGACTTGAAAGAAATAAAATTCGGGAGAGTTCAATTTTGTCAGGATTCCGAAGAAAGTTGCCAGTGAATGGGAGGTTGTCGTTGATCGATAGCATTGGCAAGGTAGAAGAGGATTCATTCCACATAATCTTCAACGGAGAGATCATTCTCTAGGTCAACGTCGAAGAAAGGAGATCAGTCGATGTCAATGAACCCTTGGTCGTCGAATACGAAGCCGTGATCATGTTCCAGATCAGCCATACACGAGTGGACAACAAACTATGATTTCAGGAACTTTTGGACAGCAGGAAAAGGACTTCTGGACAGCAAAGGCCTTTGCTAAAATTTATGGACAGCAATTTTTATATGTCCAGGAAATATGTACAAGCAGTTTTTGCGAGGTGGAAATTCTTTGGAATTGATGTTTGGGTGAAGGGAGTTAGAAGGATTAATTCCAAGTAGAGAGGGGGAGGAAGTGGGGGCCGGCCATAGAGGAAGGAGAGGGGAAATAGCTCGGGAGTTTGTGTGTTGATAAAGGAAGGGAGGCAATTCAAAATATGAAATTTAATTTCAGATTTTAATATTTGTCCAGCAATTTTTATATGTACAGGAAATATGTACAAGCAGTTTTTGCGAGGTGGAAATCCTTTGGAATTGATGTTTGGGTGAAGGGAGTTAGAAGGATTAATTCCAAGTAGAGAGGGGGAGGAAGTGGGGGCCGGCCATAGAGGAAGGAGAGGGGAAATAGCTCGGGAGTTTGTGTGTTGATAAAGGAAGGGAGGCAATTCAAAATATGAAATTTAATTTCAGATTTTAATATTTGGAGAGGAGGGGAAATTTTGAATTTGAATTCTCCAAACAAAGAGGGAAAGGAGGGGAGGGGCCGGCCATGCCTAAGATAGGGGAGGGGATTTGGGGAATTAAGAGAGTTGCCAAATCTTGGTTACTTGTTAAGGAAATAGGATTTAAATCCAATCACCAATTGAATTCTAATTAACTTGAATAAGGCAACTTCCCTAATATAACTCTTTAAATAGAAATAGATTTAGGATTTGAATTAGATTGAGATTTAACTCAACGAATTTCCAAAATTATTAGACACTAGATTTGGAAAGTATTTAGGAGGTGTTTGAAAATTAGGGTTCTAAAGGAGGGGTGTGGCCGGCAGCTAGGGGAAGGGTGTGGGACTTGGGCCGGAGGCTAGGAGGGGAAGAGGGGGTTGGGGGACCGGCGGCTTGAAGGAGGTGGGGTTTTTTGGGTCGGCGGCTAGGAGGAAGAAGGAAGGGTTCAACCTAGGGTTTGGGTGTGGTGTGGGGTTTGGCTAAGAGAGAGAGAGATGGGAGGTGGTGGCCGGCGGTTTAGGAAGACGAGAGGGGAGGAGGTTGATGGAAGAGGTGAACCACGAGCCTGAATGCTCTTGCGGCTAGTGGGTAATACGCTGCCCTCACTTAGGGACTTAGAACTCTCGCAAGAGCTCTCAAACTTACTAAAACACAACTGCATGAAATTTTCTTCATAATAATCATCATCCCCTCAAAAGGAAGAGGAGGGGACTTTAAATAGCCAAAATACAATAGCAAGATAAAAGACAAAAGTGCCTATAAGGGTCACAAATAACTACTCTCTAAAGTGAGGGTAAAAATGAAAAATTGCGATAATAAAATAAATACACATATAATAATAATAAATCTAATACAAATGATAGCTCAAAAATAAATTTGTGCGATCGTGGCCGTAGATTATCGGCCCCTTCTCTGGTAGAATCTCTACGGTCAGATGTCCTCATCAGTATGTAAAGTCTTATTTAGGGAACACGATAGTTTCAGCCAACAAACCATTATCGTATCTTTACTAAATAGAAGATAAATTTCATTGTTTAAATGTGACAATTTCAAAAGATTATTATTTAGTTGTAATCCAAAACTAGCATAGGGCCCAATTTGGAAATGTTGTTATATGATGTGTAATCGTGTGCTATGTTTTATAGTGCTGTGATTTCAATATCTGGTAAATTAATGATTGTTTGGTGCACTCGGTCGTAAGGCACTATATAAAATTTTGGAAGAGCTAAAGTTGTTGGTATAATTTATTGTTGCCTTGATTAAATGAGAAAAATGAGAATTCTTATAGTATTTATTTTAAACTAATTTAATAATTATTAATCGGTACATGTTAAACTAATTAATATTTGATTAAATAAAACATATTTATTTAGAATATTTTTTTTGACCATTCATCATTTAATTACTATCCTCATCAGTTAGGTTAGTTTAATTCAATAGCTAATCATTAATTCATTACTATTTAGTTATACATTTACTTGTTAATTAATTAATGCTTTACCTGTTATAATTATAATTTGTTTTCACAATACATAATCATTAAGTAATTATTATAATTCATTTTAATGAAATATTAATTAATATCATTAGTCTAATTCCTATGATGCACCGACACTTCTACTCAAAGAGGCGTGTAGTGTCCGACACGTATCTGACATGACACGCGTCTGACACTCCGACATGTGTCAGACACATCGAAATCATGTTCGATTAAAAAAAACACTGAATACAAATTGGACACGCGCGTCCGATATACATATCTTAAATATTTTATGAATTCTTTCAAATATAATTTCTTGTATTTAAAATTTTTACTTATTTAAAATATAAAAAATAAATTTCTTATTTCCTATTCAC